ATAAGTTTTTAAATTGAAACAAATGATTTATTGAATGTGTGTGTGAAATGTTTGTGTAGGTTGTGTGGCAAAGGAGACGCCGCAAAATCAAAAAAACTGTGAGTAGTAATATTGTACATTTATGCTCTTTATTGTGTACCTTGAACCATGAATGGTGAATGGTACTAACATTATGAATTGATTGAAAATGAAGAAACTTCGTTATTATTAGGGTGAATTACACTAACGATTCTTATAGTTTGGGACTTGTATCATTTTGGTTCCTAACTTTTCAATTGTGACATATTTGACCATGAATTTAGAATTTTGTTCCAAATAAGGACAATTGAAGATATCATTGGATTTTTCAAGGGCAAAATCATCAATTTGATAAAATATAAACTAATTTGACAAAAATAAATATCAAAAAAATATTTTTGAATTTTTAAAAATTATTTATGCTCAATAAAGATAAAATTATGTAAAATTAATAAATCTTTTAGACATTTATTTTTATTTTTCTTACCAAATTAATTTTTATTATGTTTTTGGATGATAATTATGTAAAATTAATCATAACATTTTTATTAATTTTTATCAATTTTACATAATTTTATCTTTGGTGGATAGAAACAATTTTTAAAAATTTAAAAATATTTTTTTGACATTTATTTTTATCAATTAGTTTATATTTTATCAAATTGACAATTTTTCCCTTGAAATTAAGTAATAGTATCTTCAATTGTCCTTATTTGAATAAGATTCAAAATTCAGGGTTAAATGTGTTACAATTGAAAAGTAAGAGACCTAAGTGACACAAGCTCCAAACTATAGGGACTATTAGTGTAATTTGCCCTTATTATTATATGACATGTGATATATGATTGGGACCAAGGTCGCTTATTATATGATTGGGCCCAAGGCCGCTTGATATATGATTGGGCCCGAGGCCACTTGTTATATGATTGGGTCCGAGACCGCTTGTTATATGATTGGATCCAAGGCCGCTTGATAAATGATTACGCCTGAGGCCCCTTGGTTTATATGGTTATGGATATTGTGAGAACTTTACGATTATATATCTACTTACACTACTTTACTGTATTATTACTCATTGAGTTTCGCTCACCCAATATTATGTATGTGCATGGAACGCACCCCTAGAGTCAGCTTCAGGAGCTATTTTTGTGACCCAATTGAGTCATGCCTCCGAGACGAAATTTTGTCTTGACTCACATCACACCTTAATCTTGTTTTGTTTTTTTGCTTTTATAGTCTTAGGTTTGTAAACAATATGTACAAGTTTCTTATATATAGTTCTTATATTTTTGTTGGGCATGTAAATGTATTAATGTGTTATATGGTTAACTCTATAATTTTGCTCATAATTGGCACAGCTCAATGGACTTCTCATTATTTTATAATTCCGTTTATGGCTTCATTAGCACAAATATTTTGTATGATTATTTGAGGCCTTTGATAATCTATGAATTACTGGCCAATAATGACCTAAACTTTTAGGGACGGGTTTAGGTAATGACAACGAAGGCATGCTTGCTTTTAAAATTAGATTGATTGGGATTTTGAGAACAATAAGATTGGATGATGGAATTATTAGTGTAATCAATTAAATTGGAAATAAATGTGCTTATGTTTTATACTAATGAGGTGATATTTGTCAGTTAGAATTAAATTTATAAAATTAGTACAAGTCCTTATTATATAAAGGTAATTTTGATAAATTTTTAAATTGGAAGCAAAAAAATCTTTCCACCTTCCAAATTATAGTAAGAAGAATAGATTTGAGAACAGTGATCTTTCCTGCTTTGATAAGCAAAAAAGATGTTTACTCTAGACAACAATGTTTTTATTTATTTATTTTCCAATCAGATGCATAAATTTCTCTTTCTTTCAATGGAAAATATCAAATTAACACTCAAATATTTGTCAAAATTATAAATAGACAAAAAAAAAAAAGTTACAAGCAAGAGAGGAAAATGGATTTGAAAGATTAACCTTTCTTGCTTTGTTAAGCAAAAGAGATGTCTGACCTTGACATAGAAATTCACTTTTTTCAATGAGATGCATTGGATTCTCTTTCTTTCAATGAAAAATATCAAGGTATTCATTCAAATATTTGTCAAAATTATAAATTGATAAATTAGTAAACAAATAATGAGAAAAATATACTTAAGAACATTGGCTCTTCCTGCTTTGTTAAACAAAAGAGATCACCAATTATAAAGTCAAAATTTTCACTTTTTCAATCAGATGCATAAATTTTTTTATCTTTCGGCGGACAATATCAAACTCAACACTCAAATATTTGTCAAAATTGTATGTTTAAGAGATACCTAGAACTTTGAAAAGAGACGTCTGAAACTCGACAGAAGTATTAGTAATGGCAAAAAAAAAGTTGAGATTTTCGATATTACTAACTTACTCTGAAAGTGTGTAATATATAATCAAAAGCTGATGAAGATTGAAGGCCAATATTAAAGGAGATTTTGAAGAACATGAAATTAGTCCTTGTTTTTAAAAGAAAATCTACAAGGCGAATGATCCATTGATTAAAACTGAAAACTTAAGTATAGTCGCACATTGCTTGAGAAGATATCCACTTAGGAGGGAAATAAAAGAGTTGAAAAATTTGCTCAAGAAAGCACCAATTAACAATTAATTTGATCAAAAGCTTTATTCATGTCAAGTTTGAGGGGTCACATAGAAGGTTTTATTCGTCAAGTATCCCATTTCATAACTGATCAATTTATTTAATACTCCAATTTCATAACTGGCCAATTTATTTACATGATATCAGTTCATCATCAACCTAAAACAATTAAAAGTTAGGGAGACAAAAAATTATTATGAAAATCTATAAACCAACCAACCTTCTCATGTAATTATGTTTATAATAATAATAATAAATAAATAAAAGCAGTGATTATGGATAACTTTTCGGCACTTTTGTTATTCTATGTTTTCAAAATTTAATTAAGGCATTGTTTGGGAATGGTTAAAGTGGCTATTTTAGTCATAAAAGGCAAAATAGGTTATTTTAGCCACAAAAAATAAAATATCATATCCAATTCATAATCATTATACTCTTCTCTCACAAAAAAAGTTTAAAAAGTCAAAAAGTCCTTCTCAAACTAAGCCTTTTAGCCCAGGCCAAAATAGTCACAAAAAATAAAAAATAAAAAAATCAACCCACTTTCCAAACGGAGACTAAAAATTTTACGGGTTTTTTTGGTACTAATTAAAAAATTTAGGAGTTTTTTTATATGACAACGTGAGTGTATTAACAATAATGATTTAGACCACTAAAAAATACATCATTAATAGCACTAATGCATTGGGAATGATAAAAAAAAAAAGAAAAAAAAAGAAACAAGGCATAAAAAGTGGACGAAATCTACTGTCACATCATTAGTTCTCCTTCTAGTGTTCCATTTTTAGTGTGCTCAAACATTTTTCGTGTACTAAAATGTGTGCAAAAAAAGAGAATTGCGAAAAAAGAGAATTGTTTAAAAGCTGTTGTTAATGTTTAAAAAGTGTGAAAAAAAGTGTATTGAAATGTGCGAAAAAGTTTTAAGAGATGTAAAAAATGAATTAAGATTATAAATATTTTAATATTTGATTTTTTTTTATTGACAGTCATTATCATTGGCAAGATTTTTATGTTATGTTTAGTTGAGAGATTTGAGCAAAAAATTTAAAAAAGAAAAAAAAAATATAAAATTATGTAAAATATAAATATATTTCACCTATATTTTTTCTTTTTCTTTTACCTTTCAAAATCTCTTCCTAAATCCTTAAGCAAACATAGTATTAGAAAAAAGTTTTAGTGACCATGTTTTCTCGTTCCCTATTTATATTTGAGCTTTTTGTAATAAAAAAAGTAAGGAAATTTGTGCTTTACACATTTTTGTGGCAAAAGTTATGTAATCTAGAATACAGTTCCGGTAATTTGTGAATCAGAAATTAAGGCCTCGTTAGTAGTTTTTTAGTTTTTTAATTAAAATATAATGTAAAAAAATCAGTATGTTTAGAATAATTTTTTAATTTTTTACGAAAATATGTGTAAAAAATAGAGAGAAAAAGAAATCTTTGACTTTTTTATATAAGTTATTGACTTTTTGATTTTTATAATAATTTTTTGACTTTTTAACTAAAAAAATCACTTCCCAAACGATGCCTAATTACATAATTTTTATGATTTTTACACATTTTTTCATCAAAATATTTTTAAATCATAAAAAATATAACATTACAACAAAATTATATAACTTCATTTATAAATTATAAGATATCGTAACTCTAAAAAAAAAATTACATAATATTTACTATGTAACATATACTAAGAAAAATATATAACAAGAACACGGAGCCCTGTGTGTGTACCAAGAGTAATACTAGAAATTTTAAAAATTTTACAAAAAGTTCTACCAAATGTTTTACATGGTCGTGGGACTCACACAATATGAGTCTCATGTAGATCTCACACCCATATGAAATATTTGATAAAATTTTTATGATTTCTAACATTTTTGGTGTAGCAATGAGGTGTTTTGTAAACACTTTGTTTACTCTTTATTATTAGATTTTTACTTTAAACTTAATTTTAAAATAATTACTAAACACAAATTTTAAAAAAATTTGGCCATGTACGGCTTGTTTTTTTAAAAAAAATAAAATCAGAACTTTTTTTAAAAAAATAAAAATTAATTTGATAAAAATAAATATTAAAAATATATTTTTAAATTATTTTTGACATCCTAAAAAATAAAATTATATAAAAATGGTTAGTATTTTTTATTTTTTATTTCTTTCATCAATTTAATTTTTAATTTTTTAAAAATAAATTTATAAAAATCAAACCAAACAACGTACTTAACAATTACATTTTCATATAGTTTGAAAATTAATTTAATTTTTTAATTAAATTTTTTTAAAAAAAATTGTATAATAGATGAAAAGTCCAACTTTTCATTTTCACGGTGTCGTGGACGTTTTTGTGTGGTTCCCTCTCTGTCTCTCGAAACTGCTCTCTCTCTCGAAGCTGCTCTCTCTCTCTCTCTCTATCTCCTTCAATTTCAATAAATATTTGATGGGTTTTCTTTAATGTTCCTCTTCCTTGCTGGGTTTTACACTTGATCATCACTCAACAAACCCCCCGAAGGACCCAGCAAGATTGATCACATTAAAACACAGGTATTTTATTTCATCGATTTGGTTCTTGTGTTGTTTGTGCACAAGATATACATAGATTTGTCTCTCTTGACACTCTGATCGTCTCTCTGTGTCGAGTGTTTGAAGAGTAAAGCATCCTATCTTTTGTTGGGAGTCCCTTTTCTTGTGCATTTCTTTTGTACTCTTTGACATCATATTCATACTAGTTTTTTTTTTTTCTTAATTTCTTTTTCCTGTGCCATGCCTATCCAAAGTAAGAATTGCTGTGCCAATACGATCTTGGGTCTTGGTGTCTATTGCTTATTTTCTTTCGCTTTTCCCATTTATATTTGAGAAAGTAGAGTTTTTGATTGTTGTGATTGAACTTTGAAATATGGGTTTTTGTTTTTGTGTATGTTTCCATTTGTGGAGACAATTTTGCCCAAATTTCTTTTTTTACTGTACTGCTTTTGAATTTCTATACAGTTCTTGACATAAGTTTCTGTATTTTTTTTTTTTTTTGGAGGGGGGGGAATTCAACTTTGATTTTTTCTGGCTGACATGGGTAAATTGTTTTGTTTCACTAGATCAATTTGATTACTTTGACTTTGATTTCTTGTTTGTTTTGCCTCATAAGAAGTGGGTGTCAGTTTACTATGGTTTAATTTCAATTCACTTTACATGTCATTTCATGTTTGTGGTTAGTCAAACCACTTTACTAGAATTCCTCTTGCATACACCATTTTTGTCTATAATCAAACATCTGCTTCTGTTTGGAACTCTGCAAATTGACAAGAGTTTTTCTTTGTGCATTTTCAAGTTTACTGATGCAAAATTATATGCCTGAATTTTTCTGCCTGACAATTCTATACATTGTGGCTGTAATGGATTGAAGTGAATCTAATATTAGTTTTTCATTTTTACTTCCATCATTGGATTTGGAAATAATTTAGTCATTTCATGAGAAGATAGAATTGTTCATATTGCAGATATATGTAAAAAAAAAATTGCTTAGTGTAACTCCATGAATTTCTTGTCAGGATCCTCGGATCATACTTGGCATCCAGTCATGACTACTGATACAAACACCCTAGAGTATTGGTTGAACTGGAGGTTCTTCCTATGTGCAATATGGGTCTTAACATCTATGGTTGTGTCTGCCATTATAATATGGAAATTTGAAGGTTCCAAGAAATCAAAAACTGAGATAAGAGATAATTGGCAAGTAGATACGGTAGGGACTTTGTACAAGGATGAAGCTTGGACGACGTCTTTGAAAATAATCCATCCTGTTTGGCTGCTCGCTTTCAGAGTGATTGCTTTCATCCTGCTTTTAGCATTGCTTATTGCCAATGTTATTCTTGATGGAAGCGGCATATTTTACTTTTATACTCAGTAAGTGATGTGTCTCTCTTATGTTCATCTTTATTCTCAAAATAACTTAAATGTAAAGTGGATTTAGTGAGGATTTAAAGTGATTTTCTTGTTTCCAAAACCCTATCTTAGTGTCTGTTTTGCATTCTCTCCTATATCTCTATAGCCCATATGACATTTTTTTTACTGATCTGGTTTTCTTCTGAAGACATTCTTATTATAGTCTGCACAATCCTAGCTCCCTTGGCTGTACCTTTAAGCTTGTCGCCTGTACTTAGAATCGTTTGACTGTTTGGAGATTAAGTACTGGCCTAAGCTGGCTTATAAATGCGGCTATTGTTTTGGTGTTCTGGAAACAAAACTAAAATAAGTGGAGTGCAGTTAATGCCAAGCTACTGACAACTAAAGCATTATATACTTCTATAAGTATTCAGAAAACTTTGTACAAGAATTTGGAATGGTTCTTAATTTCTATTACTTATGCAATGGTTTTGAAAGCCTTCACAAACATGAAGGAAATAACATGGAAAATGTCAAATAATTGGTCACCTCAACGTTGCTAATTATTTTGTTTGTGATATTCCAGGTGGACGTTTTCGTTGGTCACCATATATTTTGGGGTATGTTATCCTTACGATCTTCCTGTATATGTTTGTCTTTATTTTTCTTCATTTGAATTTGACAGATATCAAGTGGTAATGAACCTCTTGATTTTTAATTCTTCTGATCTTTTTGGACTACTCAAAAACTAGCCTTCATTTTGTTTATGTGTTTTTTCCCCATAAATGATAAGAATCCTGCCTTTGTCAAGGGTGGGTTGGTTCATGGGTAAGGGGGATTCCTAGTGTGTAGCCCAGCCATTGGACCTGGAAAAATAAGAAAAAATTCTTCAACCATGACAGATAATAAGAATGATGGCCATTGATATATCAACTCTTTAATATATTTGCTTTTTATTTGAAATTCGTGTTCTTTGCTGATTTTTTAGTAGTATTTCCATTTTCATGCATATGCTTATGTGCTCAATTCCTTTTTGTAGCTTGCGTCTTTATTCTCCATTTCTGGGTGTTGCCAATATTGCAATGATGTTGGTGGTGATGGGGTTGATCGTGTGGCTTTAGATGCAGAGCGGGGTACTTATGTGCCTCCAGCATTGGAGGAAAATGGCAATATGCTGAATATGTCCAAAAGCTTGAATTCCCTTGAAGAACCTCGTGTTCGCAAGACTGCAGGCATGTGTAGCTATGTATTTCAAATCATTTACCAGGTAAGCATTCTCTAACAATATTCGTTTTTCCTTAATTATGTACAAATTTTGGTAGAAAACATAATCAAATCCAATATTTTCATTTTGTTGTCATCTATTGATTCCTCATATTAACTAAAGGGTGGGGGATGAAATGCAGCAATATCATTTTTTGAGATTGTTCCACCATATGGGAGGGGTCAGGTTGAAGGCATTGATTAGGACTTCTGTTTAAATATTATTCATTTGAATTTTAGAGTCTAGATATACTTTTGAAGTGAATTGAATGAGGTGGGTATTTTTTTGGGAAATTTATGGGTGGAGAGTCATGGTTATAAAAAAAAAAAAAAAAAAAAAAAAAAAAAAAAAAAAAAAAAAAAAAAAAAAAAAGAGAAGAGCTTAAACAACAAAAAGAAAGAACGGAACCAAGAAACAAACAACTGAACACACTTAGCAAACCAACTTTTTTATTACACCTGTTTCTGAACTGGGAACAATTTTTATTGCAGAAGACGAACATGTCAAAAATTATCTTGTTATATCTTTTTATTGCAGAAAACTAACATTTATATGTGGTTTCTTCCTATGGCCTCGTTTGGGAAGTGGCTATTTGAGAGGCTTTTTGGCTATTTTAGTAGGCTATTTTAGTTTTTGTGTTTGGAAGATGAGATGGATTTTTATTTGAGTTGTTGTATTGAAAAGTGTGTTGAAATGATGTTTGAATTTAAAATGACTAATTTGTCCCTAATATTATTATGTGGTTTCTTCCTATGGCCTCGTTTGGGAAGTGGCTATTTGAGAGGCTTTTTGGCTATTTTAGTAGGCTATTTTAGTTTTTGTGTTTGGAAGATGAGATGGATTTTTATTTGAGTTGTTGTATTGAAAAGTGTGTTGAAATGATGTTTGAATTTAAAATGATTAATTTGTCCCTAATATTATTATTTTTTAAATTGATGTAAAGGGGCAAAATTGTAATTTTTCAAGTGATATAACAATTTGACACTTTGACAGTGTAGGCTGTGCCTACACTATCACGGCAGCTGAGGCTATTTTTTTTTTTTTAATAAAAAGGGGTGAATAGTGGGGCTTTTTGGCTTATTTTTCATTTGAGGCTATAATAGCCTCCAATTGCTCTTCCCAAACAGTGCTTATATTTAAGAAGTATCCTGTTGAATTTTTTTATTTTTTTTACCTGTTTCTTTCTTTAACAGATTTGTGGCGGCTCAGTGATCCTTACTGATTGCGTCTTCTGGTTCATAATTTATCCATTTCTCACCTCCGATGATTACAAATTGGGTTTTGTAAGTTTTAGCACTTCTGCCCGAGTCCCCCCCCCCCTTCTTTTTTTTTTTGGCAGAGCTGCATGCGTAGTGATAATTAATACTGAGTCCTACCATTTTAGTCAGATGAATCATAAACTAGAGAGTCACAAGACTAGATAGCCTCTTATGTGATATAATATTCATTTATACTTCTCATTGAATATGTTTGGACTTGAAAACCAAACCTAAAATGTTGTTCATGTTGAACAGTTACAGTTGACATCAAAGTTTTTTAGTTAAATTTTAAAACATTATATGCACCATAAAAGGGGGTGGCAATGAAGTACGTGATGGTGTGATGCATTTGGAAATGAAGAGTTCTGTGATATGATAACAATTATTTTTTTCTTCTTTTTTATTTTTTTGTGTGAGCATTTTGGTATCTATTTCTCTTTGATCTGAAGAATTGCACAAATGTTAATCCACGCATTCACAGACATGGATAAATGTAGGCAAGTATGCATAAAAACTATTGCAACAAACATTCATGCACATAAAAATATGCTCTATGCAGAAACCTACATTTTATGCATCTCCTATATTATCATTTACTCAACATTTGTGCGTCAAGTTGAGAAACCATCCTTCAATTGCAGATGGATGTTTGTTTGCACTCAATTAATGCTGTTTTCCTCCTCAGTGATGTGTTTTTGAATGGCTTGGTGAGTTATGATCCCTCAATGGTTCAGTGGTTTTTTATTTTTTAAATGTCATTCATGACCAACTATATTTGTTATCTTCTTCCAGCGGTTCCCTTTCTTTCGAATCACATATTTCATTTTATGGACGGGTATATATGTCATTTTTCAATGGATCATCCATGCTTGTGTTTCAATGTGGTATGTTGGATTTCTTTTCATTCTCTTTTCTTTCCCTCTTCTTTCCTCTCTTTTCTTTTCTTTTCTTTGCTTCTCTTTTCTTTTCTTTTGTCTCTTGGGACATAGAAAACATTATATGCCTTTTACTCATTATAATGATTTCCTTTTTGTGACAGGTGGCCATATCCATTTCTTGACTTGTCATCTCCATTTGCTCCTCTCTGGTATGTGTTTCTTTTTGTTACACTAATCACTTTCATATAAATTTCTCTTTTCTAGGGCAAAATAATTTTTTTAAAATTGTTATTTTGGTGTTTATTTTTGTCAAACTAGTTCTTTCTTTGTATTAAAAAAGAAAAAGAAAAATGAAAACAGAAAACAGATTCTGAAAATTCAACAAAACAGGGTAATATTTATGTTTGTTACAACTTATTACCCAAGGGAGTGACTCTGAGGATATGATTTTCTAAATTTTAATTAGCGGACACTTGAGGCTTTAAGTACAAAAGGGAACTGTGATGAATACTCGGCTAAAAATTTTACTTTTCCCCCCAAAAGAAGTTAGGTTCTTTTTGTGTTTGACTCAATCAAAAGGTAGATGTGATACTTTGTAACATTGCAATACATGTTGAATCATTGCAAGTTTGCATCCACTACAATCATTGCTGAATTCTGTTGAATAGAAGGGTGATGGTCTCTATGTTGCATTATTTACTACACACTGGCTGTCAAACTTTTGATAGTGACATACTGATAATAAAATAAAACCTACCAAGTTACACTGGCTTGTGAACTTACCCCTTTTTTTCTTTTTTGTTGCCATTATGATCTTTACAGGTACATGGGAGTGGGGTTTATGCATCTCCCATGCTATGGCATCTTTGCTCTAATGGTTAGGTTGAAACATTTTTGCTTGTCAAAATTGTTCGTGGATGCTTTTTCAACAACAAGGTGAGAGAGTTTTACTGGTCATTTGAGCTTTTGCACCACAGAGAAAGCATTTTGCCAAAGCCGACTCAACTATACTGAAATACATTTGTTAATCAGGCTGCTTATTTAAAAGTGGTTCATAGATTTGTTTTTTGGGGGCCATATATTCTGTATGGGATTCTGTTAATTTAACTTTGGAATTAAGGAAAACAATGTATAATTCTTGAAAACTGATGCCTATTCTATTCATCAATCCATCATCTACATTAGTGATGACAGTAGATAGAGAAGCAGTGAATCAGAAGTACAGAGAAGACGAAGAAAAACAGAGGCAGTTTGGTTTGGCCCTTTGTGCATGCATGTCTCCCCTTTGATCTCCCATCAATATAGTGTTGGGCAGTTTCAATAATGCGTTACAATATTTCTTCACTGTAATGCAATTCAGTTGTGTCATTTGAAGAGGCAAAGAAAGGGTTTTGACTACAAATGTAACAATATTTAAACCAAGGGTTAGAGGATCTCCATTAAAATAGTTAAATTTTAACTAACCGTCTTTTTAAATACATTTTCTAATAAACTTTCTGTTCTTTATTTCATTTGTTGAATTCTCTTTTCCTAACTATATGTAACTAGTAGCTTGATATTCAACTAAAGTAGCTAATCAAGAATTAAGTTTGATGGAGCATATTTATTTGATTTTGTGTTATAAAATAGCTAAGAGAGAAGCTCTAATGAACTTGATAATAATGCTCCAAGACATTAACCACAAGGGGCAACAGGAAAAATAACAAGATGGTAATGATAATGGCAACAATGAATAACTTGATCCTCAGCCCCATTTAATCCCTAAGATTAACTGTAATCAGTTAAAATCAAAGGCAAGCCAAGAATTGTCCAAACCCAAATTAATAAAACAAATCCATTATCTTGGAATCAAACTAGCATTTGTAATGGACATAATATCAACAACATGCAATCCATCACTGTTTCAAGCACCCTCAATAGACAACCTCCTAATACAACTTCAAAAAGTACCTCTATGCCACTTCTAAGTTCCTATTTTTTTCACTTTCGCAATTGAACTGGTCACTTCTTGAATTAAACCAACGATACGGAAGATGACCAATCTCATCTCGAACAGAGACGTCATAAACTCTGAATAGTGAAGGGAATATCCAATTAAGCTTTCACATGTTCCCTGACGAACTGCTCCAACTGAGATATTTCACCAGTCAAACCGGAAGCTTCTGCAACAGTTACTTTGTTCTGGCACTGAGAGAATGCAAAGGCTTCATCAGGGACGCCAAGTGTGTACTCATTAGCAATATCTGCTGCTGACACAGCAGTTCTTGATGCCCGAAGCTTGTCACTGTAAAATGTGGAATATAAATGAATCGAAATACATATTAACAATGCTACAGAAGTAGATATTGTATGTTCAAATTAATATGGATGGGAAAAATACAAAGGACATCAAATTGAAACACTACAATAAGCAACAACCAATAACGAAGACCCAACAATGAGAAATACGTTGTCAAAAGCAACTCAAAACATTGAATTCAAAGCTTTCTCTGACAGGCACTCATGAAAATCGATGTTTGTTAAGATTGTCAGTAGTTTCTCTAAATGATGGTTACGTTATAGATTAGTTTCTCCCTTTAGTCATATCTCTACTCATCTATCACCGCTAACTAGAAGGACGAGAATTTTGACAGCCTTACTAGTCCTATGACCCCATAACTATTTAAGAAAGATGATGTAATTGTAACAGCACAGAAGCAGTAGTAATTGAATAATCATATGTCTACATTAACCTCAAGTTCATACATTTCTTTTTCGAGTTGTTTTCGTATGAACTCCTTGGTATGTGCAGTCACTTTATCTACTTTGTTGCAAAGGACAAGTACTGAAATTTTCTTCCTGACAACACTTGCCCTGGTCAAAATATCATAAAGGTACCTATTCCACATAAACATCAGATGTTAGATTCATCATACAACGTGTTCATATGCATGTTTGAATACATATCACATATTGCATGATACACATACTCCGACGCTGCTCGACAGTTTGGCAGGAATTCCAAAGCATCCACCACGAAAACTATGCCAGCTGCTTGAGGCAAGAACTCATCTAGTTTGGGTCGAAGACGAGAATGCCCAGGAACATCAACAATGTGAACAGGCTTTATTTTGCCCTTCTGTCAATGACACGGAAAGAGGGTTAAGTTTAAGCAAACCTGGGGTTTGAAAATCTGCTTGAGGACAAGAAGACAATAGAGGGAAGAAACAAATTGCAATCAATGAAATTTTAATATATATATATTATATAACAACATAAATTTGCAGGTAAGAAAAGCTCTCATTTTATAAAAGGAGACAACTAAATTTGTAAAATTGATAGGCCTAAAAGTATAATAATGCTTGCTTTGTGCATGTTTCAACATAGTAAAGTAAAATATATTAACATAGAAAAGTAAAATATATTACCTTGCTCATTTCAGAATGTAGCACAAAAGTGCCTTCATTTGGTTCCATTGAAATCACAGTACCCTGATGGGAAGAACCATCTCGGAGCTGGAAAATAGTCAGATTGACATTCATAAGGCACACATCAGACTTTTGCACAATGGAACACTTATGACAACTGAGCACAATGAGAACCCATCTATGAAACGCAAACAGGTAATTATCCATCAAACTAGATGGAGAAGGATAGAAAGTTAGGAACAGGTTACAACTAAACTCAGATCATTTTATAAAATTCTTAACAGTGGCCAACCATGGCATTTAACTCCTCAGATGGGTATCAAGTTCAGTGCAGATACTTCAAGGCTATCTTAAATCACTTTAGAAAAAGAAGAATATACTATGCACGCGTGGGGGGGAAAGACAGATGAATCAATGAGTATGGTAACAATAAAAATACATCCAAGCAATTAGCTTCTTCAGTACTATGCTTTCAGACTGAAAACATTTTGGAAATGCTGTCATGAATAACATCTTTTTAGTTGATATGGCTCAAATTGTTTACTGACATAACAAATTCCAAACAGGGAAATCAAAGCAATGGCTTCATCACAAAACATGGTTTAAGCTCAACCTAGCATCGGTAACCTCTTAGACAAATGGGTTCAAGAATGTAGTAACTTGTTCATCCTCTTCTACTCATGCAACTCTACTCATCAATAGATAAAAAGCATTGATTTAAATGTCACCTCGCACAAATTAAGCAACAAAACATTATTCTGATTGCTTACTTGGTAGAAAATAACAGTTTTTCCACTTCCACTAAGCCCAGACAGAACAATGGTGTTAGGTTTTGTCCGTTTGAAAAAGCGAACTGCACAGCAAAGCAGAAGAGATTTGTAAGTAAAGTTTAATGTTATAATCTTCAATTAAAAGACAAAATAATAGACAGTGACAACATAAAATGAAGTCTTAGCTCTAATTCATAGCAAAATACCAGACAATGACAACAGAGAATAAAGCCTTTACTCTGAGTTTGAATCGCCCAAATGAGAGAGAGAGTACTTATTAAAAAATACAGATTTTCCCAACCAAACTAACCAAATTCATGCAAGTTAAAGAGTGCATGCAACCCCTTCCTTGATTTTAAGGAAGCAGCACCACTACATTATCTTTCAAAGCAGTGCTTCTAGATTTTGCAAAAAATGTAAAATAATGTCAACATTTAGATACCCTGCTGACAATTGCTGGGTAAATGTGCAATCTTACGTAATTTCTTTGATTTAGGGTAAGTTAGGAACACAAACTCTGTTTGGTTGGATTTTCATAACTTGTTTTATGAAAAATTAGAAACTAGTTCAACAAAAACTAACACCAAAAAACATAGTTTTGAATTCTCAAAAATTATTTTCGCCACCCAAAAAAAAAGAAGAAAATCAAATGAAAATAATGAGTGTTTCTTACTTTTTCATTTTTTTGACCAAAAGCAAACAGAGATTGACTATCCTATAAACTCGGTTCTTTTTTTCTTGTCTTGCCAACCCTTCTTCCAGCATAATCAAACTAAATACTTGCAAAACAATGAATACAGTTATAAATGCCAATGTAACCTCAAACCCACTAATTTAGAAGATTCATGGATGAGTTTGGTCAATCCATTCAATTCAACACAACACAACAATGTGATGCTGCATAAATTGATATTGTGACATGCTATCAAAAAATGATCTATGCAGACATGCTAATTTGCAACATTACATAAAATTCACAAAAAAACACAGACACACAATGCCAATTAAATAGTAAATAAAACAACCCACAAAAAATTTACTAAAACATGAACTATTCAGAAAAATTGCACCGCGAATTACCTAACAAGAGTAAAAACGTAGTAAGAAACACAATCCCAATTGCAGCGTAAAGTTGAGTTTCGGGTATTTGACGAATCAATTTGTCTGCTTCTTGTACCCATTCTTGCATCTGATTCTTCAACTGCTCAAACCCATCTCTTTCCATGACTTTAACGATCGAAAATTTAACAAAAAATTGAAAATTTAAGCTTTAATGGTCAAAACCCTTGTCAAGCACAAATTCTTGAATCGGATCTCAAGACCTATAACACAGAAGCAAAGTGAGAACTATATATATATATATGTAGATTATATGTATGCAGGTATAAAGAAACTGAGATCCACCGGAGATCTGGCCGGAGATTTTTACCAGAAGGGTCGAAATCCACTCGCAAAAGTTTCGAAACCCTAGAAATTGTTTGGGTTATGTTTTTTTAAGGGTAAAGAGTGGTTTAAGACGACTTGACCCGTATGTCAATTTGATTCGAATCCGACAATTGATCGAACAGTTCCAGACCCGATTAAGTGATCTAGCGGAAATTCACCCAAACCCGAGCCGGACCTAATAATCGGATCCCAAAGTATTGGGAAAAGTCTGCCAACCCAGATTTATTCTTTCAGAATTTTCTGGATGGATGACTGTAGGATAAAAATTGATGCGTAATTTTTGGAAAAAATTGGGCCGAGCTGTGAGTTGGGCATTGTAGCCCAAAGTGCAAAGGACTAAGTAAAAAGGTTACTCCGGCCCAGGAGAGGCAAGGTTACTCCGGCCTAGGAGAAACAAAGTTACTCCGGCCAGGGAGGTAAAATTACTTCGGCTCAGGAATTATAAAGATACTTCGGTCCAGGAACGATTTAGAGTTATGCCGGTCTTGGAGTCATACCGGCCGAAAGTCATTGGTTCGGTCTAAGACCGTACCATTGGTTGTACATGAGAAAACCGAGATAAGGATAGAGTTAAAAGTGGAACCGAACTAAGAATAGTTCGGTTTACTCAGTGGCTCTGCATAGCCAAGCTTATTTCGGTCATATAGTAGTTCGGCCAAAGTAAAAACCATCCCACTTGGTTTAAGCAGTGGGGGAGGGTGTAAAAGGATAAGCATTATCCTTAGGAGTATGAATCCTAGGAGGACTCTGCATGGAGGAATAAAAGTCCTACTAGGATTGTGCCACAAATCATGTATACATATTTCTTTGCAAGTTATAAAGCCTATTTGCACGAATTTGAGTACCATATCGGTTACGCAATTCGAGTTCAAAATATATATATATATATATGTATTGGTTCTGCAATTTAATTTTCTTTGTATTGGGATAACCAAATGAAAACTGACTCACCAGGCCACTAACCGTCCCGACTTTTTTTTTTTTGGGGAATGGTTTGTTGCACACAAATCATGACTTTGCCCAATCTGACTCTATGAGGACTAATTCGTGGACCATACTAAAGCTAATATCTTTGAGACTTTGATCAATATCTCTGAAACAAGAGCAAACTGAGCGTGCAAAACAGAAGTCGACTTGATTACTATCAAAATTGAGCTAGTGTAGCCCCCAGCATTAAACTAAAATAAGGCATGTGGTGCTTGGTCTAAGTTATTGGGCATGGCACTAGTGTCAACCGTAAGTATTCAAGTCAAAAGAATCTTTGGACCAGAAGATGCAAAATTGCGTCCTTTTTTTTAACAGGGTTTAGGGTTTAAGCATTCACAAAGAAAGGAGTATATTTGACCAGCACACCCACTCAAAGAAATCAAATGTCATATATCTGCGTCTTTGACTTTAACTAATTCCTCCCTACTTTAATTTTATTTACCATTGTCCAAGTCAAAGAAACAATTTAGAAACATGAAAATTGCCCTAACTACATCCAGTTTGGATAAAATCAATGTTTTTTCACACAAATGGTATCTCATTATTATTGCTCAGTATCCATAAAACCCTAAACAAACTGGCTTCCTATTCTAGAAGTCACTTTGTGATTTTTGTACAAGAAGGTAAATCATTCAATGTACAAGTGTTTCAGGTGGGCCAAATAACTATCCTGCTCTACTACCAACATTCATTTCACCACAAGGGTATTCAAATAATTTCACCTATCACGCTCCTCATTACAAAATCATAGTACTTATATTTATTCCCCTACAAAAACCATAGCCTAAAAATCATAATAATCGAGAAATCAAAGTCCTTCCCGTGTTTGACCTCAAAATCGATAGTTACATCATCTTGTAAAAAGAATTTTTTTTGATATATAAATAAATGAGCATTGAGGTTTCTCTGATTTTCTGTTTCATTTTCCGACTCGAGATTTCGATTTTCTCGAGAAAGTTGCAGGCTTTTCTCGATCGGAAATGAAACGAAAGAACGATTGTTAGTGAAAATTAGGTTAATTTTTTTGACTGAGAAAAACAGAGAGATGAGAGGTGCGAGCAACAACACTCTGGATACTATAAGCGCTGCTGCGACTGCGATCGCATCAGCTGAGAATCGTGTGCCTCAAGCTCCAATTCAGGTAAACAATTCAATTCGACTCATTCAATTATTTGTTTTGTATTGATTGGACTTTGAATCTATTGAGTTTCGAATTTTGATTGGCTCTGTGAAATCTGATTCATTGGATTCGAGATCTGGTGATTATATGTGATCATTGTCAGTTGATCGATTTCACTTTGTTTGATTGTAGTTTTTGGAAATTATGATTCTTTTAATGCTTTCTATTTGTCTTTTTCGCTGCGCTGCGATGTTGTTTTTGTATTGTTCTATTCGGTCATCGATAGTTGACCTGTGATTCTGAGCAAGTCCATGGTTTTAGCTTGCGTTGGATCTGAAGTTGCAGTTCTTTGAGGTTTTTGTGTGGTTACCATTGTGTTACTTCATGGAAGATTGAATCTTTATTATGATTTCTGTTGTAGTTTCTCATGATGATGGATCGAGCTGCTTAATTTCCAAATTTCGTATGAAAATCTTGTTTATTTTACAATAGAAAGATTTATTGATTCGCTCCAATCTTGTAGAGTTGATTGTTTCTGGTACATCATTCTGTTATTAAATTTGAAATTCAGTTTTTTTTTTTTTGGCTTTGTTCTGGCTTAGCAAGAGGACTGGCCCTTACTCAGATTGAGAAAGATGAGCTTGAGGATTACTTTGTCAAGAAAAAGAAGATCAGTTTTTGAGTTGATCATGGTTGTCATGAATTCAGTATATGTATTGTTTAACTATAAGTTTATAACCCTTCTATGCTTTCTGCACATCATTTATAGGATGTGCTTTTGTGCAAACCTTATTTATTTTTTTATTTGATATTAGTAATTTAGTTATTATCTTGATCAATATTGTGCAATTGTAGGTTATAGCCATTTGGTTGATTTTCTTACCCCTTTCTTTTTGTTTGCTGTGGAGGTGTGGAAACTTGTGGGCATTTTCTCTAATAGGGATGGTTAAAAATAAATGAAAACAAAAAATCAGCTTTAACTGACCTAGATAAAAATTTACCATTAAGTTCTTTAACATTTGGACCATAGGAAAAGTTTATTAACACAAATCAAGTATTCAAAAGTTACTATCTAGTAATCAACTCTATATTTTAGAGTAATTTGTTAAGAGGCTTGACTGATTAACCAACCATTAGTTCACAAATTGATAGGCAACCACTCCAGTAGATGGGTTGTCGCTTTTTTTTTTTGGGGAATGGTTTGTTGCACACAAATCATGACTTTGCTCAATCTGACTCTATGAGGACTAATTCGTGGACCATACTAAAGCTAATATCTTTGAGACTTTGATCAATATCTCTGAAACAAGAGCAAACTGAGCGTGCAAAACAGAAGTCGACTTGATTACTATCAAAATTGAGCTAGTGTAGCCCCCAGCATTAAACTAAAATAAGGCATGTGGTGCTTGGTCTAAGTTATTGGGCATGGCACTAGTGTCAACCGTAAGTATTCAAGTCAAAAGAATCTTTGGACCAGAAGATGCAAAATTGCGTCCTTTTTTTTAACAGGGTTTAGGGTTTAAGCATTCACAAAGAAAGGAGTATATTTGACCAGCACACCCACTCAAAGAAATCAAATGTCATATATCTGCGTCTTTGACTTTAACTAATTCCTCCCTACTTTAATTTTATTTACCATTGTCCAAGTCAAAGAAACAATTTAGAAACATGAAAATTGCCCTAACTACATCCAGTTTGGATAAAATCAATGTTTTTTCACACAAATGGTATCTCATTATTATTGCTCAGTATCCATAAAACCCTAAACAAACTGGCTTCCTATTCTAGAAGTCACTTTGTGATTTTTGTACAAGAAGGTAAATCATTCAATGTACAAGTGTTTCAGGTGGGCCAAATAACTATCCTGCTCTACTACCAACATTCATTTCACCACAAGGGTATTCAAATAATTTCACCTATCACGCTCCTCATTACAAAATCATAGTACTTATATTTATTCCCCTACAAAAACCATAGCCTAAAAATCATAATAATCGAGAAATCATGAGTGGGATGAAGAATGCGACCAAGCTCTGGAGAGCTTAAAGGAATATATGTCTTGTCACCCCAGTACCTGGTGAAGAACTCTTCTTATACTTGGCAGTCTCTCAGCACGCAGTTAGCGCAGTGTTGGTTCGTGCGGAAGGAATCCAATACCTGCCCATCTATTATGTCAGCAAGACATTGCTGGGAGCCGAAACGAGGTATTTGTCACTGGAAAAACTAGCATTAGCCTTAATGATGGCCTCTAGGAAATTGGCACACTACTTTCATGCCCACACCATAGTTGTCCTCACAGCTTTTCCACTAAAAGCTTTGTTTGAGAGGGCGAACTTTTCTGGGCGAATCTTGAAGTGGGCAGTAGAGTTGGGACAATTCGACATCAAGTTCCAACCCAAGACCGCAATAAAAGCCCAATCTTTGGTAGACTTCGTTGCAGAGTTTACTCTTGGAAGTCATCATATCTGCCCAGTCGACCTAACTGACACAACCGAACTAGGGATGGAAGTTGACGCCGGAATAGCGCAACCCCTAGCAGAAAGCACTCAGTCAGATTCCAAGGCAGACCAAACTAAAAACAGCAAGGAAGAGGCAAACCAAGCAAACCAAGACTCACCAACAGTCCAATCAAATGGCGAAGGGCAGACTGCAAGCATGGACATTGAAGAAAACACCACTCTTGACCCCACGACATCATCTGATCCTTCCGCTTGCTGGAAGTTGTTCGTTGGAGAAATGTGGAAACTCTTTGTGGATGGAGCATCCAACGGGCATAGTGCAGGACTAGGCATAGTCCTCATCTCTCCAGATGGCCTGGTTGTAGAGCAAGCAATCAACCTTGGCTTCCCAGCATCCAACAACGAAACAGCATATGAAGCGCTTCTGGCAGGACTCAAATCAGCATACTACATGAAGGCCACCGAACTAATGGTATACAGCGACTCTCTGCTGGTGGTAAACCAAATTTCTGGCGACTACGAAGCAAAGGATGACAGAATGGCCAAGTACCAAGAACTGGTCAGAACAGAGATCAAGAAGTTTGATGTAGTAAGGATAGAACAAATTGGCAGGGAGGAAAACAGCAGAGCGGACGAACTAGCAGGTTTTGCCTCAATGGCAGATGCATCCATTCCTCATCCATTGCTCATCGACTACTTACCAAGACCAAGCATAGAAGACCCCGAAGCAGAAGAGGTATGTTGCGCAGAATTAGGCCCCTCTTGGATGGATCCCATCATCCTGTTCCTAAAAGACGGCATCCTACCAGAAGAGAAAAAAGAAGCCAACAAAATAAGGGCAAAGTCGCAGCGGTTTTGGCTATCTCCATCTTTGGCATTATACAAGAAGTCATTCTCAGGGCCTTACCTAAAGTG